GCTTTACCACTACTTTTTTAGTCCCTTTTATATTGTGTGTGTATTAGTGTATATTCAATTACATTATTGTGCGTGTCACCAAAACTATCTTTTGATTGCTAGTACCCAACTACTCATATTTTTTTATTTTTTAGTGCAATTAATTGCTCAACTTATTATACATACAATCAGATCTTATCCCAAATCAATATCTATATCATAGTGGACTATCTGGTCCAATGTACTTTGTTTTTACCATTACTTAATTTAGTCCCTTATATATTTTCTCCTTTATTTTAGCTTTATATAATACCTTAGTTCAATTTTTCACAATTGTTAATTAAAAAATTATCAAGGTGCCTATTCTCAGGTGCTAAAGTGTAATAAGTTCACTATCTTGCCACATTATATTCCCCAGCCCACTATTTATTTCATTACCACTTTATTTGTTCACCACAACTTATATTATTCCCTTTTTATATGTTCTCCTTTATTTTAACTTTAGAGAAATACCTTTAAAGGGAAACTTCCAAACTTTTATAATTCCCAAGTTCTTTATTTGATCATCACTTTATTTGTTCACCACAAATTATTTTAGTCCATTTTTATTGTCTCATTTATTTTAGCTTTAAGAACTACCTTAGCTCATATTTTACTTTTGTTAAAATAATTCAGGTGCTATTTTTTATCTTTAGAATATGTTTCTTTGTCTTATATTAATTCTAACTATAGATGCACATATAAATCTTATGATTAAAGCATTGATCCTGATACCAACATCTTATTGAATGACTTAAACCCTTTCAGTGTTTTGGTGTAGTAGTACGGCTTACGCACCAGGGTTTTTGACGTACTAGTACGCCTAAAGTTCTAGCGCCCTCAATCTAGTGAGAGAGAGAATGGAGAGAAGCTGGTAGGCCTACTATGACAAAGAATGGTTATGTAGTCAGTTGTGCACAGTACAGTATAAAAAAAATCTGCAGCACCACAGTGTTAATGAGAAAAAAAAAAAAAACTTTGACCGTTGTTTTTTGGATATTAAACCGCGACTTTGCACTGTAATTTCGTATATGGGATTTATTGTTGTAATTTTAGTTTTCCTGGGTCTCATTTTTATAGTATGGAAGACATATTACAGAAATTGAGATTGATTTTGACTGGCTTTGACAAAGAAAACTACCTTGAAATTGCGCTCAAGTAGCAGAAATGTTCGATTTTTACCAAGTGCAAAAAGTAAACAAATCCATGCTATTCGTACAAATACACGTCAACTGGTGAGTCTAAATTCTTTCACAGTGCGCTGTAATAATTACACCATTTCTACACCAATGCAATAGTCTGCATAACAGTAAGTCTTCTATTTTTTTGTTCGAAAGAAAAATTAGAGTTGTTCAAGAAAGAAGTTTGGTTACAGGAAATGGGGTGCGGGAGGGAAAGAGGAGCGATTGGTAACATGATGATGTGAAGAGATGTAGTAAGGGAGAAAAAGTTAGCATATGAGAAGTTTTTACAAAGTAGAAGTGATGCAAGGAGGGAAGAGTATATGGGGGAAAAAGAGAGATGTTATGAGAGTGGTTGAAAGCAGTTGTAAAATGAGAGCAAATTGAGAGGAGTGGGTAAGATGTTATCAACAAATTTTGTTGAAATAAGAAAAAGTCTTTGGAAAGTGAAATTAACAAGTTAAGAAAGCCTAGAGAACAAATGATTTTGTCAGGTAAAAATAGGAAGAGGAGAGTTAGTAAATGGTGAGTTAGAGGTATTGGGAAGATGGGGGACATATTTTGAGGAATTGTTAAATGTTTGATGAAGATAGGGATGCTGATGATTTCGTGTATAGGGCAAGGAGAAAGGAACAAACATATTGTAGGATGTGAGGAAAGAGCCGGAGTTGTGAGTGTGGGGGAAGTTCGTGAGGCAGTAGGTAAATGAAGGGGGTAAGGCAGCCGGGATTGATGGGATGGGATAAAGATAGAAATGTTGTAAAGCAGGTGGGGATGTAGTTTTGGTGTGGTTGTGCAATTATTTAATTAAATGTAGGAAGAGGGTACAAGGTACCTAGGGATCATTGGCATGAGTGCAAGCATAGTTTATTTGTATAAAGGCAAAGGGGATAAAAGAGAGTGCAAAAATTATAGGGGGATTAAGTCTGTTGGAGTTATACTGGAAAAGTGTATGGTAGAGGTATTATTGAAAGGAATTAAGAGTATGTCGGAGAAAGAATAGGATAGCAGATGAAAAGGAGGCTTTAGGGGAAAGGTAGGGGGTGTGTTGGACCAGGTGTTTACAGTGAAATATAAGTGAACAGTATTCAGATAAGGCTAAAGGAGGTCTTTGTGGCATTTATGGATTTGGAAAAGGGTATATGACAGGAGGTGGGATTAGGGGATGCAATGTGGCAGAGTTGCAGGTTGTATGGTGTAAGGAGTAGGTTAACTGGAACAGGTGAAGAGTTTTTACGAGGATCGGAGGTTCAAGTTAGAGTATGTAGGAAAGAGGGAAATTATTTCCAGTAAGGTAGGCCTTAGACATAGGATGTGTGATGTCCACCGTGGTTGTTTATTATATTTATAGATGAGGGTTGTAAGAGAAGTAAATGCGAGGGTCTTGGCAAGAGGCGTGGGCTGGAGTTAAAAGATTAAAGAATCACACATAAAGTGGGAGTTGTCACAGTTGCTCTTTGCTGATGACACTGTGCCCCTCTTGGGAGAATTCTGAAGAGAAGTTGCAGGAGATTGGTGGATGAATTTGGAGGGTGTGCAAAAGAAGAAAATTGAAGTGAATTACAGGAAAGAGTATTGTTATGAGAGCTAACAAAAAAAGAGTAGATGATGAAGATTGGATATCAATTGGAGGGAAGAGAGTATGGAGGAGGTTTGAATGTATCTCAGATATTTGGGATCTGTGGACGTGTCAGCGGAATGGGTCTATGAAAGATGGGTGAATCATAGAATTGATGAGGGGAAAAGGTGTGAGTGTGAAACTGCGAATACCAAATCTTAGGAGTCTGTGGAGACAAAGAACTTTGTCCTTGGAGGCCTAAGAGAGGATATGTATGAGGAGTATAGTTTTACCAACGCTTCGTATATGGGTGTGGAAGCATGGGTGATGAATGTTTGCAAGCGAGGAGAAGGCTGGAGATGCAGTGGGATGTAATGTCTGATAGCAATGTGTGGTGTGAATATAATGCAGAGAATATGTTAGTTTGGGATGTTAGGAGGAGGTGCGGGGTTACCTCAAAACTGGTTGTCAGAGGGCTGAGGAAGGGTTGTTGAGGGTGGTTCGGGGCATGTAGAGAGAATGGATGAGCGAAAACAGAATAACTTCAAGGTTGTATCAGTCTGTAGAGGAAGGAAGGCGATGGGGTTATAGGGGTCGGCCTAGGAAAGGTTGGAGGGGAGGGGTAAAGGGGGTTTTGGTGCGAGGGGCTTGGACTTACAGCAGGCATGCTGTGAGCGTGTTTGATAGGAGTGAATGGAGACAAATGGTTTTTAATAACTTGACGTGCTGTTGGAGTGTGAGCAAAGTAACATTTATGAAGGGGTTCAGGGAAAAACCGGCAGGCCCGGACTTGAGTCTGGTGATGGGAAGTAAGTGGCCTGCACTCTGAAGGAGGGGTGTTAATGTTGCAGTTTAAAAACTGTAGTGGTAAAGCACCCTTCTGGACAAAGACAGTGATGGAGTGAATGATGGTGAAAGTTTTTCTTTTTTCGGGCCACCCTGCCCTTGGTGGAATTCGGCCGTGTGATTATAAAAAAAAAAAAAAAAAAAAAAATTCTAAGTGGAAAGCAAAAAGAATGTAAGAGGGGCATGGGGACATGGACTAATGAACAGAGGAAATGTTATTTTAGTGCCATGGAATGTCTTTCTTGTTTTATCTGACCCTATTGGAAATTGGGCTTCTTTGAAAATTTGTGTGGAAATTGCAAAAATTGCTAAATTCTGACCACTGTATTGGATAGTTGAAATCGGTATATGCGTGTTTCTTGACTCATTCGATAGAAAAAAATGGAAGAGAATGTTCTAGTGAAATAGTTATGATTTTTGACGACAAAGTACACTGGAATTGGCCAAAAATAGGCTCTCAAGTGGGCAGAAACGCTGATGCGTATACATTCGTCGAGACTGCTACTTCGCAAAGAGATAATTTCACGTAAGTTTTCCATAAAATTTCATACTTTGGTGGTTCATTGATGATCGGGGAGAAAAGATTCTCTATCTTTTCATAAGAATTTTTTTTTTTTTTAAAATTTGTCATGTAATATGTGATTAATATTACTACCCGCCCACCCGACCCTGAGAACAAAGTCTCTGGAGAGATATAGTCGGCCTTGTCGACCCTGAAAGGGTTTAAATGAATCAAAACAGTAACTGTAATTACTACACAGCAGCAACAATAAAACGGGCACTTCTCAGGCCGCAACAAACAACATTAACTGTCTTTAAACTACAATATCAGATCTTTAATAGCAAAACATTACGTGGCCTCATAGCATTACTAAAATTCCCTGCATGCCAGTATGTCCATCATGATCTCACCGAAAAACCTGGCTAAAGGCCTGAATACTTCAGACGTCTATGCCATTCCTGGTTACACGCCATACACAAACCGGTAGGCCAGATCAACAAGGGGGTGGCACAGCTATATGACTTACTCAGACAAATGAATGTATCACTAATACAGTGGCCCCGCCATAACGATATTAATCCGTTCCTGAGGGAGAGCTCATTGTTATGCGAAATTATCATTAGCGAACGAATTTTCCCCTTAAGTAATATTGGGAAATCTAATTAATCCGTGCAAGACACCCCTTGTATGAAAATAAAAAAAAGTTACACATGAAATATTAATTTTATACACACAAAACTGAAAAAGGAACATGCCACAGTTACATGGGACACTTACCTTTATTGGAAGATCTGGTGATGTTTGATGGGATGGGAGGAGGAGGGGAGTTCTTAGTGTTTAGAAGGGGAATCCCCTTCCATTAAGACTTGAGGGGTGTCAATCCTTTCCGGATTACTTCCCTTCTTCTTTTTAATGCCACTAGGACCGCTTCAGAGTCACTGGACTTCCTGTCGCACAACAATCTGTCCTTAGAGGCCTGTACCCTCCCGTTTCCCTTTTGACTTTCCTAAAGTGGTTCACAACATTTCAGTGTAATAGTCACCAGCACGGCTTGCAATAGCTGTGTTAGGGTGATGTCATCAAAAAAGGTTTGCACTTTAAGCCACAGTCCACAAATTTCCTTAATCTTTGAAGTAGGCAACTTTCAATTTCTCTATCCCCTCCTCCGAAGAGTTTCCTCAGGTCTGGACCTCCATGCTGATGAAGATGATCTAGCAGCTCATCAGTGGTTAGTTCTTCATTGTCCTCCTCCACCACTTTTCCACATCATCCCCACTAACCTCCAACCCAAGGACTTTCCCTCAATGCCACAATGGATCCTCATACTCAGGCATTAGGATTCCCAGGGTTGCCTCAAAACCCTTCAAAATCCCTTTGGTCTACACATTATGGCCACAGTTTCTTCATGCAGAGTTCAAGGTCCTCTTAGTCACTCCCTCCCCAAGGCCTTACCTATAAGGTTTACACAATTGAGGATATTAAAAGTGCTCTCTCTCAAAAAACTCTCTTAGAGTCAAAATGAGTTTCTGAGGTTCACTACAAAGCACCTTTCAAACAGAGCTTTTGTGTACAGTTTTTTTGAGTTTGGCAATTAACCTGCTGGTCCACTGGGCTGCAGGAGAGGAGTGGTTTTTTAGGAGGCAAAAAGCTTCACCTTAATTAAAGCTCATGTCCCCATAAAAGTCGCTCTGCCACATCTGTAGGGATGACCAGGGGCACTGTCTAAACACCAGGAGGCATTAGGTCTAATTTCTTTTCAGTTAGGTAATTTTTCACATTGGGGGCAAATGCTTGGTGTAACAGTCATAGCAAAAAGTCCTAGTGCCAAATGCCTTACTGTTTGCCTCCTCAGCACACCAAATTAGCCTTGAGGATATTCTTTTGCCTGAACGCTCTGGAGTTAGTTTGCAGGTTACACTAATAAAGGCTTTTCACTTTGCAATCACCACTAGCATTGGAACAAATCAACAGAGTAAGCCTGTCCTTTCATAGGCTTATGTCTTGGGAGTGCCTTTTTCCTCTGAGTATTGTAGGTCCTGCTTGGCATTTTCTTCCCCAACCGGCCCCTGTTTCATCACAATTAAACACTTGTTCAGAGTTTTCAGTCCTTCACTGTCTATGTACTCCTTGAATGCCTGCACTTATTTTTCAGCGGCTTTGTGTAGTTAGGTAAGACCATATGCAACAGTTAGGTATCTTTATTTGAAACGTTTCGCCTACACAGTAGGCTTCTTCAGTCGAGCTTAACAGAATAGTTGATAGAAGCAGAAGAGACTTGAAGACGATGTATCAGTCCAATCACCCTTAAAGATTTGAGGGGTAGTCCCTAAGTCTGGAGAAGGAGATTGTTCCAAAAGTCTGAAACATATTGTTTCAGACTTCGGAACTATGCTCTTCTCAGACTGGAGGGACTGACCACCTCAAATCTTTAAGGGTGATGGACTGATTACATCGTTTCAAGTCTTCTTCTGTTCTATCAACTTTTCTGTACTCGACTGAAAGAAGCCTACTGTGTAGGCGAAAAAACGTTTTCAAAATAAATGTTACCTAACTGTTTGCATATGTGTCTTACCTACACCCTGTCGGTATTTTATACCATTTTAATGTTCAAGCTGCTTTGTGGTCCGAACTGGCAGCCTCACCATGCCTTATCACACTATGTATGCCACTATCGCTTCTTAATCTCTCTAACCAACCTTTGCTTGGCTTTAAATTTTGCGACACAAGGAGACACCTCAGGATTGGGGGTTGCGACAGTCAAGGGGTTAAGAAGAGGTATGATACGGCTCTCACAACCAGAAGGGGAAAAACTCCTAGTACTAGCCAGTAGAAAGGCCGGGCCAGGAGCCAATACTCAACCCCTGTAACCATATATGCATACTTACAAGTGAGTGCAAAGAATGGAATAAACAATTTTCTATTATACAGTGACTAAAAATACCCAAAAAATCAGTGTTGATGTAATTTTAACCCTTTCAGGGTCCAAAGGCCAAATTTCAAAGTGCGCACCAGTGTCCAAGAATTTTTAAAAATTAATTTTGTTATTTTTGCTTATGAAATGGTAGTGAATCTTTTTCTGAAGGTAATAAAACAAAAAGTATGAAATTTGATGGAAAACTGACGAAATTATGCTCTCGTGAATTTTGATGTGTCGGCGATATTTACGCATCGGTAATTTTGCCGACTTTGACTCCCATTTTAGGCCAATTACCTTATTCCAGTCAACCAAATTCTTAGCTATTTCACTAGTATTACTTCTATTCTATCGACTGAGCACAAGAAATTGCCAACTCAACTGTTTCAACTACAAAATAAAGTGATTGGAAATTGGTAATTTAGCCAATTTAGTGCAAAGTTCAAAATATTCCAATTTCAAAATAGGGTCCTGAGTAAACAATGCAGGCATTCCTGGCACTAAACTAACATTTCCTCTGTTCATTAGTTATGTTTTCAGGCTTTACAAATGAATTCCATTTTGATTTTTGATTCACATAATGAATTTTTATTCAAACCAAAAAATAGAAGATTTACTGTCATGCAATATTGTAATAATTGTATAAATGATATCAGCACATTTGTGAACGTCTATTAGATACGCCAGCTGGTGTGTATTAGAAGTGTGAGGTCATTTGTTTACTCTTGAACATCTGCAAAAATTTAACATTTCCGCTATTTTGAGCTCAGATTCAAACCATTTTCAGTACGAAAACCAATCGATATCATCTCTATTTCTGTAATATATCTTCCATTCTATCAAATGAGACCAAGAAATCGCAAATACAACTATAAAAAACATACAAAAAAACACTGCAAACTTGCTGTTTTAATCGAAAATTACGGTCTCAGTTTTTTTTCTCTCATTATGCACTGTGTGCTGCAGGATTTGTTTTATGTGGTGCACACATACCACATAGATGTATTCTCTCATATCTAGGCCCAAATTTACCGCTCACAGCTTATCAGAGTGAGCTGAGCTCATGGCGTAGATCTACAGTTTGGACCATCAACGTAAAGCCATAGATCTACGGCATGGACCCTGAAAAGGTTAATGAACAAGTCATAACCTGTAAAAAAAAAATTGTAATTGCTGGGAAAGAAGATGGATACTTACTTATTTTTCTCAGATTCTGATGCAAAGCCAAGATGGTGTTGTCCTCGCTTCTCTCCTGGAATTCGCTCCTTAAGCATGGACAGCTTTGTAACATCAGAATTCCCATAGCCATCAAAACTGACAGCCACAAGGCCATCATCTGTTATTGCATCAATAACAGCATCATACCTGAAAGAGACAATTACATTACATTTCTACTGCACCTGTGTTTAACCATACATTCCATTAACTATTTTGTTGCTGACAAATACTATGAACAAGAAATTTAGTAATACGATCAGGAACAGATATGTTTGACAGTATTTTCGTGAAGAAGTATCCTTTTTAATCTATGAATTATTCAAACAAAAATATAGGAATGTCTATAGTAATTATTTATCGTGAAATTGCAGAGCAAAATTATTATTACATTCATGGGGAAGTGTTAAACCCATAGGGGTTAAACAGCATCTGGGGGAATGGGAGGCATTCAGATCCAATTCCAGGAATTAGATGAGGGTATCAAATGAATTAAGTAAAGAATAACTGGATATCACATTGGAGGGAGGGAGTAAGGAAGAAGTGAATATGTTCAGTTATTTGGGAGTTGATTTGTCAGCAGATGGGTTTATGAAGGACGAGGTTGACCACAGAATTGATGAAGGAAAAAAAGGTGAGTGGTGCACTGAAGTGTCTGTGGAGACAAAAAATGTTATTCATGGAGGTAAAGAAGGGAATAAACGAGAATATAGTGGTACCAACACTCTTTTATGGGTGTGAAGCATGGGTTGTGAATCCTGCAGTGAGGAGGATACTGTAGGCAGTGGAGATGTCCTGTCTAAGGGCAATGTGTGGTGTAAATATTATGCAGAAAATTCGTAGTGTGGAAATTAAGAGGAGGTGTGGAGTTACAAAAAGTATTATTCAGGGGAATGAAGAGGGGGTTATTGAGGTGGTTTGGTCATTTATTTATTTATTTATTTATTTATTTATGTCTTTGGAAATAGTACATTGAGATTTTGTATTTACAATAATGGGTTGCAATACAAAGAGAGCCTCTATTATGCCTAAGCATTATGGGCCAACTTAACATTATTGGCTTACAGACTACTTAACACTAAGAATTATGTCATAGTTGTACAGTAGAATATTAATTATATCATAGTTGTACAGTAGATTATTAATTATAAGTGAATCTAATTTATATAAGACAAAAGATATATTCATATATTCAAAAATGCTTTTTGTGAAAACAATGATTCAATTATATTCCTGTCAAAAATGGATAAAAGGTTCAAAGTATCAACATCCGGGGTCCCAGACTTTTCAACATCTTACCAGAAGATATCAGAAACACTGCTGGAACAAGTGTTGAAGCCTTCAAGAGGAAACTAGACAAGTATCTTCCCAGGTGCCAGATCAATCAGGTTGTGATGGATATGTGGGGCAGCAGGCCTCCAGCAGCAACAGCCTGGTTGACGAGGCGAGCACCAGACGAGCCTGGCCCATGGCCGGGCTCAGAGTAGATATACTCTCGAAATTCTTCAAAGGTATATCAAAGGTATGATGTGGGAATACATAAGCGAGTATGTGTGTACTGAGTATTTAGCATTTAGTCTAGGGTGATTAAATGGCTTTTGAGAAGTCTTAAATTGATTTTCAGACCGGGTTTCTTTAGTATCTTCTGGTAATGAGTTCCATATTTTGGGGCCCTTTATGTGCATCGAGCTTTTACATAGTGTGATATGGACACGAGGTACATCAAAAAGAGATCTGTGTTTTGTGTTATGGTCATGTGTCCTGCTAAGGTTGGTGAGGAGAAGTTTGAGTGGAGGGTTTATATTTGCATGTATTGTTCTGTGTATGTAGTAGGCATATGAATAAGTATGGATGTTCTTAATGGTGAGCAGATTCAGACTTCTGAAAATTGGTGGAGTATGCTGGTGGGAGTGGGAATTTGTTATCATTCTGACTGCTGCCTTTTGCTGGGTTATTAAAGGTCTTAGGTGACTGAATGTTGTTGATCCCCATGCACAAATTCCATAGGTGAGATAAGGGTATATGAGTGAATGGTACAGTGCCAGGAGAGCTGATTGTGAAATGTAGTATGCCTACAGTCTTAAGAGATTTTCTTGGTGATTTGTTGTATGTCTGGAACTTAAGGCTACTGTCAAGGTGGTATATACCTAGGAATTTTCCCTCTGTAAGTCTTGTGACAGATGATCTGTTTAGCATTATGTTAATTGGATCATTTGCAGCTTCGTTTCCAAACTTAATGAAATATGTTTTATCAGTAATCAGGGTAAGTTTATTAGTTTATTAGAGAGGGTGGAGAAAAACAGAATGACTTGGAGGGTGTATAAATCTGTAGTGGAGGGGAGGATGGGGTAGGAGTCATCCTAGGAAAGGATGGAGGGGGTAAAAGAGGTTTTGTGTGCAAGGGGCCTGGAAATGCAGCAGGCATGTGTGAAAGTGAGAGACAGCAGTGAATGGAGATGAATGGTTTTTGGGACCTGACAAGTTGTTAGAGTGTGAGCAGGGTAATATTTTGTGAAGGGATTCAGGATAACCAGTTGGCTGGACTCGAGTCCTGGAGGCGAGAGGTACAATGCCTGCACTTTAAAGGAAAGGTTTGGGATACTGGCTGTTTAGTGTGACATCTAAACTGTTATATCTGGGCAGCTCTGCAAAGACAATGATTGTGAGTGATGGCAAAAGTGTTGAATGATGGCAAAAGTGTTTCTTTCTTTTTTGGGTCACCCTGCTTCGGTGGGAGATGGCCGGAGTGTTAAAAAGAAAAAATACTAAAATTAAGCAGCTAAGCCCAAAGATATAAGGTATGCTTTTAAGATGTCTTCTCCCCAGATGTAAAAGCTTAATAACAAAAACTGTACATGAAAGTATTACAATGTGCTCTGACAGTCATGGCTAATAATACAGAAATGATTGAATAACTTCACCAATTTTTTCATAAATAACTTATCTATAATTATCACTAAATACAGTAGGACATCCGTAACCACAGCGGATATGTTCCAAGGACCTGCCATGGATACCGAAACTGCGGATAGTAGCAAACTCTATATATAAAGTCCTATACATACCTATTATAAAATTTAATTAATAAATTATGCACAATAATTGGAGAATTATCACTTTTTCACTTCATGGCTTGTCTTGGGGTTTGAAGAACTACCAGTTTCTCCATTTTTGCACTTTGGGGCCATTATTATGCAAAATTAAGAGGTATTTTTGGGCCACAGTAAGCTGTGGATAACTGAAACCACAGATACTGAATCAGTGGATACGGGGGTTCTACTGTACAGCCTCTCCTCACTTAGTGATGTACTCGTTTACCAACAACTTGGTCTTATGACCAGTATGCATACCTAAATAATGTATATCAAAGCTGATTTCCTCTATTCTATTTATTACAATATACAGGTCTCCCTCAACATTCGTGAGGGTTAGGGGATCAAGAGCCTCGTGAATGTTGAAAAATCGTGAATGTATGGTGCCCCAATATATTGTAGGGAAATATAATACAATACTGCTTCCTTAACTTGTTGAACCACGAACAATCATAAAATACATGAAATCATCGTAAAATATTGTTCGACATACATATATGTTATGGTTTAATAACATGTTATTAAATACCACTGCCTCAACCACTGCCTCAACCACTGCCTCTACCACTGCCTCAACCACTGCGGCGCACAACCTCATATTTTTGTACAATTTCTTTCTTCAATTCTATCGTGTTTCTCAATTTCTTTACCAAAGGGCTGGCACTAACAAATTTCTTTGGGCCCATGGTTAATTATGTAGCAGTCACACTCAATCTACAAGCACGAAACACAATTATTATTATTATAATCAAAAAGAAGCGCTAAGCCACAAGGGCTATACAGCGCCAGCGAAACAATGAATTATTGTGAAATGTTTGGAAGAACACAGAGGTTAATGCTAACTCCAGCATAAACAAAGCCAAACTGACTCATGATGCCTCCACCACTGCTTCAACCCTCATATTTTTGTACACTTTTCTTCTTCAATTCAATTGTATTATTATTTTATTAATAACATGTATTATTATTATTATTATTAATAACACATATGTTATGAAATACCACTGCCTCAACCACTGCCTCCACCACTGCCTCCACCACTGCCTCCACCACTGCCTCCACCACTGCCTCTACCACTGCCTCTACCACTGCCTCTACCACTGCCTCTACCACTGCCTCTACCACTGTCTCCATCACTGCAGTTGCACTCAATCTACAAGCACCAAACACAATGAATTATTGTGAAATGTTTGGAAGTGCATGGAGGCTAATGCTCACTCCAGCATAAACAAAGCCAAACTGACTCACGATGCCTCCACCACTGCTTCAACCCTTGTATTTTTGTACAATTTCCTTCTTCAATTCTATCGTATTATTATTATTATTATTATTATTATTATTATTATTAGCAGTAGCAAAAATGTTCGATTCTTTGCCATGTTCAAGAGTAAACAAATGATGTCACTGTCCAAAACCTGTCCGAATGGCCATTCCAACATAATGGAAATCAAATTAATAGAAATCAAATTAATCCGTGCAAGACACCCCAAAGTATGAAAAAAAAAATTTTACCACATGAAATATTAATTTTAATACACACAAACTGAAGAAGACATGCACAATTACTACTCTACTAAGAATAGAATACATGACACTTACCTTTATTGAAGATCTGGTGATGACTGATGGGATGGGAGGAGGGGAGTGTGTGGAAGTTATTGTTTAGAAGGAGAATCCCCTTCCATTAGGACTTGAGGTAGCAAGTCCTTTTCCGGGGTTACTTCCCTTCTTCTTTTAATGCCACTTGGACCAGCTTGAGTCACTGGACCTCTGTCACACAACAAATCTGTCCACAGAGGTCTGTACCTCCCGTTCCTTTAAGATTTGCCTAAAATGGGCCACAACATTGTCATTGTAATAGTCACCAGCACGGCATGCAATAGCTGTGTTAGGGTGATTTTCATCCATAAAGGTTTGCACTTCAACCCACTTTGCACACATTTCCTTAATCTTTGAAGTAGGCACAACGGATTCCACAACTGGCATAGGCTTCTCAGGGTTAGCCCCAAACTCTTCAAAATCTTTCTTAATTTCCATACTAATTCTCACCCTTTTTAC